ACTTCCTCTCTCTCTCTCTCTCTCTCTGTCTGTCTCTCTCTGGTCAAATTAAAATAAATGAATGAATAAATAAAATTAAATAAATAATTCTTTTTTAAAAAAAAGAAAAGAAAAAGGTCTATAGTTTACTATTTCGTGCTACAATATTTAGTCATCAGTAAATATGTCAAGTGCCAAAAAGAAAGAATGTCAGGACCAGCTGGTTGTGTCCAGCATGGTTAAGGTGTCTGGATTGCACATGCCTGACTGCACAGTTTGAGTCCTGGATGTGGCAGCAGAGAAACAGACTGGGTGCAAGTGCACGCATGCTCAAGATCCTGAGAAGATAATGGAGAACAAGGGGTTGCAGTCCGGCCATCCGCCCGGGGAGTGCTTTCTCTCTCTCTTCCCCCACTCTCTCCTCCTGCTATCTAGTGCATATTCCCTGTAGTAAATTTAGAAAACAAATAAACTAAAAAGCCAAGAAATTGAATTTTTACCTATTTCAATTGTTAATTTGTACCTATAATTTGATACAATTATAAATAAATTACAAATTACTCAAAACATACAGTTATAAAGATAAGCTAAATGTTAATAGCTTTTATTTTCAAATTAACTTAATATTTTTAACTCAAAATTTTATTCCATTGTTGTTAATCCTTCATTGGATAAAAAAATAAGCTCTATACATATTGTTCTCACACATAAAGCACAAATATAGATAGATAGATAGAGAGAAAGAGAGAGAATATAAACCAATGTATATTATATCTGTGATATTAAAAATATTCTATGGGAAAGCCACAATTAACATAAAAAAATAAAAAACTCAAAATTTTATTCCATTGTTGTTAATCCTGCATTGGATAAAAAAAAATAAGCTCTATACATATTGTTCTCATGCATAAAGCACATATATAGATAGAGAGATAGAAAGAGAGAGAATATAAACCAATGTATATTATATCTGTGATACTAAAAATATTCTATGGGAGAGCCACAATTAACAGAAAAAAATAAAAAGCTTTAAGGGACCAGCAGTTAGCATAATGGCTATGTCACTGGACTCCCATGTAGCCGACCACGGTTTGAGTCCCAGACCCGGTGGCTTAAACTCACGCCAGGCGCATGTGTATGCATGCCCAAGATCCCGAGAGGAGAATGGAGGAGAAGGGATTGTGGTGTGGCCATCCCGCCTTGGGGGTGATTTCTCACTTTCTGTCTCTCTGTCTCTCCCTGTCTGTCTGGCGAGCACACACGCCCTATAGCAAAAACCTCTCCAAAAAAAAAAAAGCTTTAAAAGGCTCCTTAGGGGAAGGATAATTTTTTTTCCTTTTCAAAGATTTTTGCCTTAGGGCATGTGCACTAACCAGAGAGAGATAGATACAGTGAGAAGGAAAGTGAGAAATCATGCCTCCATGGGGGATGGCCACACCATAATCCCTTCTCCTCCCAGGATCTCGGGCACGCACATGTTCCTGGCATGAATTTCAAGCCACTGGGTCTGGGACTGGAACCACGGTCGGCCATGTGGGTGTCCAGCAATGTAACCACTGGCTTCAGAATAATTTTTTTAAAAAATATTTTGCTGCTGATTTTCCAGGATGAATTCCAGCTAAAATTTGAAAATTAGAACAGATTTATTCGCACTCTCGTCTCATCCTCACATCTCTATTCCACCCCATGTTGTTGCGTGTTTTCTGGTAACAGACTCCCTTTTTTCCTTTTGGGAGTTACTGTTTTAATCTCTAGCTCCCATGATGGCAGAAGGCCCAGTCTGGCAGTTTTGAACCTGAGACACTACTCCTGTACCAGTGCTTTTGGTGCCATCTTCAATTTCTTGGTATAACTGTGAATTATCGCCTATTTGAAAACATGTGTTTTATTTCATTTTTGCTGACACCTCCCACTGTTTCCTGTGTATGTTAAAATATCCAAGTTAATCAATATCATTCAATTGTTACCAAGTCACTTATCATTAAGGGTATATCATTAAGGTACTATGGCTCCCCCAGCCACTAACACAAATCCATATTCATGAAATTCTACTCTGAGCTCCATGAGAAATATCTATTAGCAACTTGTGTCAGGTAAATACAAGGAGAAACTGGCCTAAAGACTTTAATCACAAAGTATGTCCTCCACTAATATTTGGAGGATATACTTTGGATTGAACTGTATTATATTGGCTAAGACATGTCAGAATTTTTTGTAAGGCTTTTTTTTTTTTTTTTGGAGGGGTTTTTGCTATAGGGTGCATGCGCTTGCCAGACAGACAGAGAGAGACAGAGAGATAGAAAGCGAGAAATTATCTCCCAGGGGGGATGGCCACGCTGCAATCCCTTCTCCTCCATTCTCTTCTCGGGATCTTGGGCACGTACGCACACGCGCCTGGCATGAGTTTTTAAACTGTTAGGTCTGGGACTCAAACCGCAGGCGACTACATGGGAGTCCAGCGACATAGCCATTATGCTAACTGCTGGTCCCTTGTAAGGCATTTTTAAAAGTTTGTTTACTAAGAAATAAACAGGCACCCTCAACATGCTGCAGTTTCCACCCCTAGTCTTCCAGTCAGCCAGGATCATGGCACATACATGTGCCTGGTGTGTTTCAGGGTGACCAGGAATCTGAGCTGATCTTTCATGTGACTCTGGCGTTGCACAGCAGCACCGTCTGCTTGCGTCACCATAGCTGGGCTTATTTATGAGGTTTTCATTAGCACATTCACTAGCAGCAGACACTGCTCAGTATCCTCAGGAGCAGTATCTCATTTAGTAGTCCACTACTCAATAATCCCAAACTGCATGGATTATTGATTTTCACTTCCCAGGTACTTTTTTCTCAAAGAAAAAGACAGAGAGAGAGAAAAAAAAAAAGAAAAAGGAAAGAAAGAAAAAGGAAACTGAAGTTCATAAGGCAAAGATATACAATCAACAAAAAATGATTCCTTTAATTTTCTTGGAGCCCCGTTTGAATTGTTAACAGTACCCGTGGACACCATGTGTAGGACACCATGTGTATGGACACCAGTGAAATGAAAAACATACCAAGTGATGGGAGGTGAGGTCACAGCCCACAGTATATCGTTTGATCAGTGACTGACAGTCCAAGTGGGGGTTGTTACAGTGACTTGAACTCACAGTAAGATTTAAGTCAAGATCCACATGTGAGGGCATGCAGATGGATCGATTCAGGACACGCTGGAAGACACAGGCCTGGGAATGAGGGGTGAGGGTTTGTGTTACAAATTCAAAAGTCAGCAGAGACTCAAATATGGAAGCGAAGAAAATGGCTGCGCTCCCTTGGGGGAAAGAGAGGTGAGAAAGAGAGAACGAATGAATGCGGAGGATCCTGTAGGGACTCTAAGGACAAGAGGAGGAAAGCCTAAAACGGTGGCGGTGGCGGGAAATAGAAACTACTGAGAGCTGGGCCTCAGATAAAGACAAAGGAACAAAAGGCCCCATTGTAAGTGCCTGTACCTTCAGCTGTTGAGAAGGTGGGAAAGGAAATTTTATAACAGAAATTTTGCTACACAGGCCACAGGGCAATCTTTGTTTAAGTTACATGTTATATGTTAAGTCATCTAGTGGGTCAGGCTTTATTTTGATCCCAGATGATAGAAGACAGATGTCCGGCATCTGGTTCTACAGCCAAGTACAGCCACTGTTTCAGAGCAGCTGGTGGTCATGCCTGGCCCCATCTCTAGGGGCAACAATGACTTGCCAGTTGTGAATCCACAGTTGAGGGCAAGGGCGAGTAGTATGAGGTATTTCACGCAAACTACATGAAAGGACAGAGTAATTTTTTTTAATGTACATGTTTTGATACCTAGTACCATATTATTTTTAGAGAGAGTTCTTACCATATTAATAGTAATATTTGACATATTCCTAATTTCTTATAAAACATCTTTTTTTTTTCTTTCTACATTTTATTATTTCAAACCAGGTGAACAATGCCATAATTTTTTTTTTTTTTTTTTTTTTTTTACACAGAAAAAAAAAAAGGGAAAAAACACCCCCCGGACAGAAAGTGAGAAATCACCCCTCGGGGGGATGGCCACGCTTCAGTTCCTTCCCCTCCATTCTCCTCTCAGGATCTTGGGCACACACACACACATGCACCCGGCGTGAGTTGAAGCCACAAGGTCTGGGACTCGAACTGCTGTCGACCACATGGGAGTCCAGCGACATACCCATTATGCCAATTGCTGGTCCCTTATAACATTTTAACATAGATTATTACCTCTGTAACCACCCACAGTCTGTAGAGTTGTCATGCTTTATGACATATTACTAAACTATTTCATTCACTGAGGCGTCAGCTATCAACTAAACAGAGTTGAAGGCTATTAAAGGGATCTATTATACTTTGCCCACTTCAGAAATCTCCACTGATTTAATTACTAGACCAAGTCCATCAAGAAAAATAGCTTTAAATTATACATGGGAAGACCTGAGAGTCCAGTCTACCTCAAGCCACCCCACTTACATGACATTTACACCAGACAAAAATCTTCATGTTGTTTTGCCTGAGAGAAGTCTATGTATAAAACTTCAATAGCAACTTTCCTTGTCACCAGTATTCCAATCATCTTTCCACGTTCTTGACGATCCAACCAAACCATTGGCTACAGCCCACGGGCTGGTATATAATCACATCTTGCCATTTTTTCTTCCAAGCGACATGAGCAATCAGGTGCAATGCCCAGTGAGAGTTTCCCTTCACCACTGTCCTTCAGGAATGTCCCAGAGGTCTGATATTTCCCTTGCTCCAGTGCACAGCTACTCTGATCAACAGTCATCAGTCCTTTGGTGATGACTGGAAGAAAGATTAACAGTATAAATGTGGCGTGGAGGGAAAGA